AATAAATACTTAACTTATTTAGTTCTAAGTATGAATAAAAATACATACATACATACATATGTATGTTTAAATAATATTTATTTATTTTTTATTTATTAAATAACTAGAATAATAATAATATTATGGCTAAGAAATGTCATCCGATTCAATGTTATTTCGAACATGTTTATTAAATTGTTATTCTGATGAAGAAACATTTGTGATTCTTCGAAAACTGTTAGTTTGTGAGCAAAGCTCTTGAGAGTGGTCATGAAATTGTCCTACATAATATGTGTAGGGCAAAATGATGTCCTCCGCACAGCTGTATAACAGCGATTATACAATATATCTGAATGTTGACCACGAAGTGCTTAGAATCATTTGCAATCCTAGAAAGTAAAGACCGTAAAGGATCTGGTGGTGGGACCAATTGAGGCAATTTTACTGTTCCTCCAACACACGGCTTACAATATTTACATATTATTTTAATTTCTCCAGTTGTTACCGGTTTGTTTAGCAACTCTTTATTCAATTCAAACTTAAAACTCCTGTAGGGCTATAAAGCTTTTTTTATAACCGCGAAAATTTACGAAACAGCGAAAAGTATCAGCGAAATTGTAGCAAAGGGACGAGTAACGTCACTGTAAGGGGGTCAAGTATTAATCAACTTTATTAAATATAGCTTAATTAGTTTTAAAAATAATGCAATTTAAATGCCTATACTCTCTTTGAACCGAAACTACAGACTCCAGTGCGTGATAGCGGCGGACAATCCAAATTCTTTTTTCAGTGTACCAGTTATCCATTTTTGTTAAATGTAAAAGTCAATCTGCAAAATAAAAAATTAAATTCATTAAATAGAAAAAAAGTTATTTAATTTTTTTTTTGGTAGCGGCTTTCATCAGCCACCCTGTACAAGAACATATGGTTGAAGTATGCAGTGGTTTGCAATCGGTGACCCAACAACTCCCTTAAGCTATATATTAAATTCTATACATTACTAAAAAATGCTGACTCGTGACATTTCGTCACGTTCAGCTTCAAATCCATGCCTCTGTGGCATGGTTGGCTTTAAATTACAACTACTAGGGTAGTCATACATAACTACATAGCTCATCGCACATTTGATTGACTGGGACATAAATTGTAATTAATCAAATTTATAAAATTTCTCGTTCACTTAGCACCACTAACGCAGTGGCACCAACGGTTTCCGTACATACTATAATCAATCTGACCGTTGCAATTAAAAGCAGCTCGCACCATTTCATGTTCAATTCTACACGACTGCGCCAGTTAGATCTTATTACAGGTGGGGTGCAATAACGGCACTGTGGAACCACCAATTGGAATGGAAATAAAGGCACTGRACATTATTACCATTTGAAATGGAAATAAAGCCGCGGTGACGTTATTACCATTTGCAATTATTTGTACCATTTTTTCTGAAAACAAAATGTGACATTATTTCGCTTTCAATATTTTAGGGAAAAATGGTAGTATATTAGGATAGTAGTTTGGCGGGTCTGTGATTACTCTCCTTTGCACCACTCTCCCGCCGCGGCGCGTCCTGTAGTTCAGTGCAGAGTTAAGTGTGTCAAGCAAAGAAAAACACAAAGTTGTTATAATGAAGTGCACTCTGCCTTATTGGTTCTTCTGAACTGAATTCTTAAAACTAAAATTCGATCAGCAGTGCTCAATGTTCGAAGAGTTGTTGAAGTTAATATTACTAAATAAAGTGCTCAAGTGTCGTTATGTACACAGTTCGCTTAAATATTGCTGAACTATGCATATTCGATATTAAAGCAATAATTAATAACAAACGAAAATAATGATTATGCTTGATCGGCAATATCATATTTCGGTTGCTTATAATTTAATCTGGATTATTATGGAATCTTTATCCTTTGCAAACGACATTGACCTCCACCTGTGCTCATTATTTCCTTTTTGTTTGCAGACAACTTGCGTTTAATATAGCACTTCCAGTCAATCCACACCTGTAACAAAACGTTTGAAGTATTTAAAAAATTTATTTTCAATAGTACAATACCTTTCTCCACGTACTTGAGTCTTTTGGTGGTGGACCAAGTGCATTTAGGGCATTTGCAATTTCCTCCCGAAACTCCTTCACTTCTTCCTTCGGTCGCTATTGGAAGCCCTGCGCAACATCTCTTTTGGTTGTCATTATATCAGCCAATTTTTTGTATTGCTCTGGTGTTGTTGTTTTTGACCTACAAATATATCAAAAAACATCATTAAAGCACAAAAAACTGAAATAAATCATGTTGGTGACTTTTAAAACTATCAACAACAAATTTTACTTACATTTTTGGGAAAATTATATTGATAAAGTACACTAGAACAAAAATATAACTGCTCTCCGCCAATAAAATTGCAACTTAGCATAACGGAGCTACGATCGAAATTCATGATAGGCAGAATTATAAATTTCGAAGTTGAACCGAACGGGAACGGAACGCATGATACCAAAGTTGCCAAACGGAGAAAATTTCGATCCAAGTCGAAATGCATGATAGGGGCGAATATAACAGTTAAGGTGTTCACAGTTCTTTATTATCTGATGTGTTAATTTTGGCATATGTTAACTTCAAAACATTTTACCACGTGGTAACTTTGTTTGTTGTTGTTTCCTATACAAGTTCGAAATAACAGTCTTAGGCAAAATTACTCTATTTCACTTCGTGCTTTTGTT